GTAGGGATGCCAGACCCCAGGTGGGAGTGGGGGATCCCCCGATTTTGCAGGCTCGTACCCACTGCTAGCCAGCTGGCCGGCAGGGTAAGCCCTGCCCCAATCCCCATCCCCAGTAGTGACCACCAGCAGCCAACCCCTCCTTCCCCTCCTGCAAGATTTAAAGGCCCCTCTAGCTGATCAGCAGAAACATGTGGCCCGCCAATCAGCTAGAGGGCCTTTAAATCTCACAGGAAATGGGGGGTGGCTGGCAGCCACCCACCTGAACTCCAAGCAGCAAATTCACCACTTGGAGTGCAGGCATGCACAGCCCTTTAAATGCTTTTGGCAAGAAGCGGGGGGGGGGCACACCTCTACTCCAAACTGCAAATTTGCCACTTGAAAAGCAGGCACGTCCGGGCATCGGTCCCCAACGTGATGACATCATTTTTGCATGACATTATCACGTCGGGGACATCCACGCCTCCTCCAGAAATGCCCCCCAAAGTCCCCCACCAGGGACTAGGAAGGACCTGCAATCCTAATTTATTATTCACATGTAATGTTTGTCATATGAACAATGCAAACACTCCTCACTCAGGAGCTTGAGGAGGGCTGGGTTTGGGGAAGGGAGAGGCCTCAGCTGGGTATAATGCCACAGAGTCCACCCTCCAAAGCAGCCATTTTCTCCAGGGAGACAGATCTCCACTGTCTAGAGTTCAGTTGTAATTCTGGGGGATTGCCAGGTCCCACTTGGTGGTTGGCAGCCCTAGGCATGGCAGCTGTCTAGGGTTGCCAGGTCCCCTCAGCCCACCACCAGGGGATGGAGGGGTAAGGTTACCAGATCCAGGCTGAGAAACTGCTGGAGATCTGGGGATGGAGCCTGGGGTTACAGGGACCTCAGTGGGGTAAAATGCCATAGAGTCTACCCTCCAAAGCATCCATTTTCTCCATGGGACGTTATCTCTGTAGTCTGGAGATGAGCAGTAATCCCAGGGGATCTCCAAGTCCCACCTGGAGGCTGGCATCCCTAGGCAACAAAAACTGAGGAAAAGGGGAGGGGACTCAACCCAAGATATGGCCGTGATATATGGGGGTCAAGCTAACAAAATAAGTTATTATAGAAATACAAATATTTATTACTAAGAATAAGGCTCGTTGTGGAAATAAATACAAGGAGCTCTAGAAAGAGGCTCTGGGAGAGTGCCCCAGCCATGGGTACTCAGCATCAATTTGCTGTGGTGACCTCAGCAGGGTATGACGACACAGAGTCCACCATTTTCTCCAGGGGAACTGATCTCTGCCATCTGAAGAGTTGTAATTCTGAGTGATCTCCATCCCTCCCTGGAGATTGGCAACAATGGTTCCACAGGAGGAAATGGATGATTTGGAGGGTAGAGTCTATTGCATTGTACCTGTCTGAGGACCCACCCCTCCTCAAACTCCACTCTCCAGGCTCCACCCATCAAATCTCTTGGAGTTGGCAACCCTATCTCTTTCCCAGCCAAGTATCAACCTGCTGTTATCTGCCCCTCTGATTTCAGCTTTCCATCTCCTCCCCCCTCCCTCCTGGAGAGCAGGGCCTGTAAAATGGAGCTCTTCCACCAGGCCTTCGGTTAGGAGCCACCACTGAGGAATGAGTGCTGGAAACTGAACCATCAAGGCCCATGCTAAGTTACTGGCATTAAGACAACTGGATACTGGCCTAAACGCCAGTGAACGCCATCTCTATCAATTGTACTTTATGTATATTAGGGTTTGAATTTTACGCTATGCATTTTTGCGTTTGTACTTCATGGCATTTTAAACTAGGTATTTGTTTTTGTAATCTATGTATGCACTGTATATGCATTGCATTGTATATGCATTGTAATCTATGTATTTAATCTATGCATTTGTATTTTATGGCATTTTAATCCATGTACGCCACCTTGAGCCTGCATGCACAGGCAAGGCGGGATAGAAATTTAAAATAATAAATAAATAATAAATAATTCTGAGTGATCTCCAGCCCCCACCTAGAGTTGGCAACCCCATCTCCTTCCCAGCCAATCATCAACCTAGCTTTATTTCCCCCTCACTCTTCAGCTTTCCACCCCCCACACACCTGCAGCCTCACTCGTGCTCTGAAGCCCTGACTGCTACGTCACATTGGCTGTCATACGGTGGCCACCTCAGCAGCATATAAGGATACAGAGCCCACCATTTTCTCCAGGGGAACTGATCTCTGCCATCTGAAGAGTTGTAATTCTGAGTGATCTCCATCCCTCCCTGGAGATTGGCAACAATGGTTCCACAGGAGGAAATGGATGATTTGGAGGGTAGAGTCTATTGCATTGTACCTGTCTGAGGACCCACCCCTCCTCAAACTCCAACCCTGTGAGGTAGGTTAGGCTGAAAGTCTGTGACTGGCCCAAAATCACCCACTCAGCAAGAACCTGGGTCTAGCAGACCCTGCTCTAAAGCGCTGACTGCTACGCCTAGGGTAGCCAACCTCCAGGTGGAGTCTGAAGATCGCCAGGTATCACAACTGAACTCCAGACAACAGATCTCTCCCCCCCTGGAGAAAATAAATGCTTTGGAGGGTGGCCTCTATGGCATTCTGTTCAGCTGAGGCCTCTCCCCTAGTCAGGACTGGCCCCAAGGAGTTTTCTCCCAAAGACCAAAATAGGTGTGGAAAGGGCCTTTTACTGACAGAACCAAGCTTGGTTGCCTAGCAATAGGCACTGAGGGGAAAGTAGGGTTGCCAGCTCTGAATAGGGAAATACCTGGAGATTTGGGGGGCAGATCCCATGGAGGGCAGTATTGGGGGGGCAGAAGGACTCAGCAGGGTATAGGGTCTACCCTCCAAAGCAGCCATTTTCTCCAGAGGAACTGATCTCTGTCATCTGGCATCACCTAGTATCACAACTGAACTGCAGACAACAGATCTCCCCCCCCCCCCTGGAGAAGATAGCTGCTTTAGAGGGTGGCCTCTATGGCATTCTATTCAGGTGAGGCCTCTCCCCTCCCCAAACCCTGGCTTCGGAAACCCTAGTCAAGACCAGCCCCAAAGGCTGGAAAGGGTTTCCTTCGTCTTTTTACTGACAGAACCATGCTTGGTTGCCTACCAACAGCCACTGACGGAAAACTTAGTCCCATAGAGGAGCCAAGCAGGAGAAGTGTCTTCATCAGGAGACACAGCCATTTGCCAGTGCTTCTGACAGGGAATAGTGGCTGAAGGGGGAGTGGGTGGGGATGAAGAGCAGACCCAGCACCCGGCCAATGGCATGCAAGTACTCTTGAGTGGCAGTTGACGGGCCAATGGCTGATGGAGTGCATTGCACAGCTAATGGGAGAGCTGGAAACTGCCAACGTGGGCGGGACTCGGGCAACGTAGCCAGTGGATAGGGACAGCTTCTGAGTGACACATCATGAAGCTAGCTGATTTAAGGGCATGTGGAATGTTCAGAAAGTGCCACCCCACCACTCAGTTATATATAAGGAAAGATTGTGTACATATTAGTAAAAGATAAAATAGGTTAAAAGAAATTATCCAAATATCAGACTCTTAAAACTTTTTACACACAGAGCTGAAAGTTTTACATATACAGTTGATGAGTATATTTTATGACCAGTAGACCATATGCGTTTTGGCCCGTTAGGACCTTCCTCAGTGGTCAGTATTACTATTGTAAAACAACACACATCCAGAAGTAAATATATGAAGAAAGATTTTCTTTAGAGCCAGGTGTTGCTTTCTCATGTGATGTGCAATTGCTAAACGTTTACATAGTAGGCCATGGATAATCTCTCACGGTAACTGCACATGCTCTCCAAATTGTTCTGGTAACAAATATCCAATGTGTCTGGATGTGTGTCCCTTCCATCAAAGGTAGTAATCAAGTTTAATGGAAGAGACACACATCCAGACATACTGGATATTCCCGCACATTTGAAGGGTAGAGAGACTGGGGAGGGTGGGATTTGAGGAGGGGAGGAACTTTAGACCAGTATAAGGCCATTTCCTCCACCCTCCAAATCAGCCATTTCCTCCACAAGAACTACCATTGCCAGCCTCCAGGTGAGGGCTGGAGATCACCCAAAATTAAAACTGTTGTTCAGGTGACAGAGATCAGTTCCCTTGGATAAAATGACTGCTTTGGAGAATTGCCTCTATGGCATTATACCCTGCTGAGCCTGCTTGCCTCCCCAAGCCTTACTGTCCCAAGGCTCCACCGCCAAATTACCAGGATTTCCCAACCTGGACCTTGCAGTTTAAGGTGAATTGATCTATGTAACTGGGAGATCTGTTGTGATTCCCATAGCATTGCCACTGCTGCTGTGGGGTAAGGAAGCAGGTGGGGTGGGGGAGGAAGCAGGCAGGAGGCTGGGAGAGTGATGAGGCAGAAAGAGAGAGTGCTGGGACTGGGGACAGAAAGAGAGAGAGTAATGATGTGGGGAGGCAGAAAAACAAAGATAATGATAATGGGTTAGAAAGAGTGAAGTTAACATGCATGGAGGAGACAGAGAAAGTAAACAGCATTGCTGGCTAAGCGCCGTAACAATAAAAATTCAATTCATTCAACAGGGGCAGAAAAGAGTGTGACAGAGATAGGGGGAGAGGGGAGGAAGCAAAGGTGTGAGGAATGAGATAAGCATCCTGCAAGTTTCTTGCAGGTCTCGACTTGCATTACATAATCACAAGGAATTCTTCATTTGAATTGTTAAAGAACCATACCAACCTTCCAGATTCTTTTTAGTTCCATTCAGAATACACGCTCCAGCAGAATGAGCTGTTTGGGCTTGTCCTGGCTCTTATCTACATGAGTGTCTGCCAGGAGATATTGTCATTTAACCCATTAGGGGGCAGAGTTTTCAGTTTCAAAATGTATTTATTTATTTGTTTGTTTGTTTGTTAGACTTTTACCCCGCCCTCCTGCCGAAGTAGCTCAGGGCGGCTTACAGAGTTAAAAACCAGTATACAATTAATAGAATATCAAGTCTAAAACAATACAATCGATAAACAATACAATCTTTCCTCAACAGAATTCTATCATCCAGACTGTTACATTTAAATCAAACCCAGAACAAAAAGTCTGTAAGTTTGTGATTGTGCTCTAAGAAATGTTCCACCAGAGGAGCACCAATTTTTTAATGTCATATATTGCTTTTTTGTTCAGTCTTAATTTAAGACGCCTTATGCACATGTAAACATGCAACCAATATGCTCCCCAATAAGGGGCCAGTTCCAGGTTTCCATAGGCCCTTGGTGGCAGAGTTTAACTGGGCCCACTTTCCCCTTTGGTACAGCCCATTTCTCCTCCATTTGTAACTGTTTTTCTTGCTCCACCCCACACTTCCATCTATGTATCTGCAACTTCCTTTGTTGTATATGCAGCAGGCTTGCTGCAGATCCAAGGTAATTTTGCGTGGCATCCTGAAGCAATGGCTTTGCCTGTATTGTCTAGAAACGCACAGTCTCCTCCTACTCCAGTGACCTCCATCCTACAACAAAAACAAGAGTCAAGTAAGAGTCAGACATTTCCTGAGAGCAGCAGGCATATTTGAGGACACTGGAAAAATGCAGCACATATAAATTTTCTGGAAGGAGTGGAGTATAAAAGTTACAAGTATAAAAGCACAGCTACGCAGCTTCTTCAAAACTCAAAGGAAACCCATAGGAAAGATTCCTATCACTTCAGGTTCATCCTAGAAATGGTGTATATATGTTGTTGTTGTTCAGTCGCACAGTCGAGTCCGACTCTTCGCGACTCCATGGATCATATCCCGCCAGGCCCTCCTGTCTTCTGCCGTCCTCTGAAGTTGGCTCAATTTCATGTTCGTTGCATCGATGTTCTAACTTATTCGACACATATATGGAGTCCTGTGATTATTCTGAAAGTCATCTAACTAGTGTAAATCCAGAACGCTGACACTTGTTCTAAATGAGCCCGTAATACTTCTCAGAACTAACCACTACTGACAAAGCCGACTTCATACTATAGGTCAAAATATACTCAGACTGATTTCACACAAGAGCTGTGCCACGGTCGTGCCTCCCTTTGCCCCGCTTCTATTGGTCAATTTCCCACTCGAAGCCACGCGGCTGCATTTAGACCTGCGGCTTTGCCCGATTTTCCCCGTGCTTTCGTGATCCTCAAAAAACAGGATCACGAAACTGCTAGGGAAATCGGGCGAAGCCGCAGGTCAAAATGCGGCCACGCGGCTTCGAGTGGGAAATTGACCAATAGAAGCAGGGCAAAGGGAGGCGCGACCACGGCGCAGCTCTTGTGTGAAATCGGTCAGTGATTAAAGGTCCATGATCAGAGTGGCTGTGAGCAGTCAGTTGAACTAGACAATTCTGAATTATCTGGCACTTGTGTAAGTTAGCCTTATATATTCATGTGAGGATGAAAAAAATGTATATATTACATTGCCTTGAACAGTTGAAACAGGATCGTTAGAGTGTCCAATCAGTTTTGTGATACTTAGCGTCACCACACGACCTGACCGTGTGTAAGCTTGGTATGTCTCTGTCACATACTCAAGCTAGGCTTTTAGAATATTCACACAGCTTATCACTGTAGCTAGCCTTTGGCTGTGGTCACACATACTAAATAATCCACTTTCAATGCACTTTCCAACTGGATTTTGTCAGTTCACACAGTAAAATTCAGTCAGAAAGGACACTGAACGTGGATTGAAAGTGGATTATGTAGCGTGTGTGATCACAGCCATATATACAAACACAAGTCTGGGACCCATGAAGACTTACATGGGAGCATCTCATTTTACTCTGCATCCTCTCCTGACAAGTATTTCTGTTCTTCCTCCCATTGGCAGCCTCTGCAGCTTCTCCCTTTCTCTGCTTCCTTCTCCCCCCCACCTTTAGCTGCCTGCCCCAGTCTTCAGCCTTCATACCTTTTATCCCCTGGCAGCTGCTCCCCATTTTTTCTTTCTGATACCACTAAGTAGCTTTTTTTGTTCCCCCTTTAGCTTCTTCCAGTTAGTGGTGTAGTGGTGTAGTGGTTAAGACTCTAATCTGGGAGAACCGGGTTTGATTCCCCCTCCTCCACTTGCACCTGGCTGGATGGCCTTGGGCAAGCCGTAGCTCTGATAAGAGCTGTCCTTGAAAAAGAGCAGTTTCTGTCAGAGCTCTCTCAGCCCCACCTACCTCACAGGATGTCTGTTGTGGGGAGGGGAAGGGAAAGGAGTTTGTAAACCGCTCTGAGACACCTTTGGGTAGTGAAAGAAGGGGGATAAATCCAATCTCCTCCTCCTCCTCTTCCTCTTCTTCTTCTTCCTCTTCTTTTTCGCTGCTTTCTTTCCTTATTTACATATTTTAGCTTTATTTATATTTCCCCCCCAACCATTTAACTGATAGAAACCAAAGCTTGGAAGACTCAGCTATATAGCTGTGGCTGTCTAGCAAATCCCAACATGACTGCCAAGATATCAAAACATCGTTGCATGAGATCTCATTGGGCACTCATTTCTTAAAGCTACAGCTGTTGCTTCTGATCTTTGGAGGGGTTTTTTTATCTCCACTTTTTACTGTTTGTTTGTTTTTAATTGTCAGATTTTTCTGCAAACCTGGGGCCTTCCTTGGGTTTGTAGGGGAGGAAACTCTTTTTGTCTCTGGCCTCATTGTGTATATTTCTGATCCTTCCTCTAGAGGCTCAGTTCAGAATTAGATAAAACAACTGGTAGACACTCAAGGACTTGCAGGACATCTCATTTTACCCCATACCCCCTTCCCCACACTTTTCCTCTTTTGATCCTCCTGACAGCCCTCATACCCTCTTCTATTTCTCCTTCTCACCCATCAAGCAGCCTACCATTATCTTCCCCCATCTTCAGCTTTCCCTCTCTTCCTGCCCCGGCATCCTCTCCCTGGGAAAACTATGGCCCAATTGCATAGTGCCAGTCACTGGACCAGGCCCAGTTGCGCACGCGCACACACACACACACATACTCCCTGACTTGGATAGCCTAATCTCATCAGATCTTGAAAACTAAGCATTGTCAGCCCTGGTTAGTGTTTGGACGGGAGACCACCAGGGAAGCTCAGGATTGCAATGTAAAGGCAGGCTATGGCAAACCACCTCTAAATGTCTCTTGCCTTGGGGTCAAACAATAAGATGGTCACAGTCCAGAGAACTTACAATACACAAATCATACAACTGTGGTAAAGAAGCACTCACAATTTTTTATCTCAAGATGTTGTACAAAACATTAATTACTGAAATGATTATTACAGGAATTAAAACAAGGAAATAGAAGCGAAAAGGCGGGACGGTGGTCTCCGGATTGGTGCTGCCGTTTCGACAATGTGTCTTCTTCTGACCAGAAATTGTACCAGTCAACACGAAGTATGGAGTTCCTCAAGCAACAAAAAGCTGCACACTCATGAGTTTTCTACCTCTTATAGCTTGAGAAGCAACATCTCTAATTCTAGAAAAAAAGTTCTCCCAAAAGGGCTGAAGTCAAAGCACCAATCCGGAGACCACCGTCCCGCCTTTTCGCTTCTATTTCCTTGTTTTAATTCCTGTAATAATCATTTCAGTAATTAATGTTTTGTACAACATCTTGAGATAAAAAATTGTGAGTGCTTCTTTACCACAGTTGTATGATTTGTGTATTGTAAAATCTTGCCTTGGGGTCACCATAAGTCAGCTACAACTTGATGGCAATAAAAGGGGAGGAAAGTAGCCTATCTGTGATACAGTGAATAAGATTTTTTTTTTACTTCATTTACACCCCACTGGGGGCCCAGCATGGCTTACATCATTCTTTTCTCCATTTTATCCTCACAACAACCCTGTGAGGTATAATAGGCTGAAATGTGTGACTGGGCCAAAGTCAGCCAGCAGGCTTCCATGGTAGGGTAAGGATTCAAACCTGGGCCTCCTTGATCCAGCACTCTAACCACAATAGAGACCTAATGAAACTGGGCTTCACGCCCCTCAGCAGTATCATTGGGCCTGACTCTCAATTTCAAGTTAATGTTGAGATTTTGTACAACAATATACTGGCAAGGTTGATCATCACATATATCCTATAAACACTGAACAGCAGACCGGCTAAAAGCAGACACTGAAATCTCACCACTGAACACCAAAAGGAAACTGGATGACTCACGTGGCATTTTCTCCGTCTGCCCATGTCCAGTCCTTACTTAAGACTCTTCGAAGCCCAATCCAATAGATATCTTTGCCTTTGAGCCGCATCACAAAATCCTTTAATAGTAGAAGAGATGGATTTTAGAATGCTGGACTGTGATATTTACCACCCACCAAAGCAGTGAATGAACACAAGGTACTGATTGAACAGAGGTCCTTGGACTGGTGAGGTTGGAGCTTGTGGCTGCAAGCATGGGTAGCAGCCTCTGATCATTAGCTGTGCTCAGGGAGATGCTGCTGGAGTGCCCTGGTAGCACATTTGTACACAGTGTGTGGGGTGGATTATGGCCTGGGTTTTTCTGTTGCATCTTGACTGGTCAATCCATGCTTCGCCAATGTGGGAGATATTATTATAAGCAAAATTATATTTGGTACATAGCAAGAGATTTCTGAAATTCTATGAGAGCAGTCTGTTGTTGCAGTTTGGGCTTTTCGTTTTTCTAGTATGCTTTTGGTGTTGCTGCTAGAGGAGCATAGGGTGTCAACTAACTCGCCGCAATGGTGTACATTCTGGCATAGCAGCCACCATCTCAACCAAACCATAGGATTACTTTGTCCGACAGCATATTGCTTGCCTGCTTTTAAATATGCAGAATAAAAGATATCTTCACAAAGACCAGTTTTAGGGAGACAGAATATTTGCACATCTCACCATTTCTTCTTTTTCAATCCTGGCCAGGGACGCATTGTGTGAAGAGCAGTAGTGCTTGCTAGAGACCCAATCCCGTTTTTCCCTTGAAAAGTAGTAGCACTTCCCCTCGTATCCAATCCAATAACGTGGGCACGGCGGACCACATTGTGGGGGGGATACCAAACTACGTCCCAGCTGCTCAATCTGTTTTGCTCCTATAACTGAGAAAGGAACAGACTCAAACAGTGCACCACCACAACTTTTCCTCTCATGATGAACCCCCCAAGTGCATAAGAATCTGTAGTAAAGAAGTTAACATCCCTCCCAGCCCTTTTCAGTAAATATGAAGCAGAGAAGAAAGGAAAGCCTCTGTAAAGTACTGGGTTCACACATGGAGACACGGACTACGACATGCTAACTATATGCGTTTATTGAGAGCCAGTTTGGTGTCGTGGTTAAGTGTGCGGACTCTAATCTGGGATAACCGGGTTTGATTCCCCACTCCTCCACTTGCACCTGGCTGGATGACCTTGGGCAAGCCGTAGTTCTGATAAGAACTGTTCTTGAAAAAGAGCTTTTCTGTCAAGAGCTCCCTCAGCTCCACCGACCTCACAGGGTGTCTGTTGTGGGGAGGGGAAGGGGAAGGGAAAGGGGTTTGTAAGCCGCTCTGAGACACCTTCGGGTAGTGAAGGGCGGGGTATAAATCCAATCTCTTCTTCTTCTTCTATTGTACTTCACAAGAGAACCCACACGGCCCGGCAAGGACCAACTATATACACTCCACCCGGGCACACCCACAATTGCATTGGGGGGTTTGAATTTCCCACCAAGGTCCTATTGGAGGACTCAGGGTGGCCTAGGATCCTTGGCCTATTGTGTTTGGAACCAAGTTAAGGACTGAGGCCGTCGACCCCTGGTGGCAGCCTGTGGACACAACAGCCTCTGTTCCTACTCATCAATAAGAAGAAAGAGCATTGCTTGGACTGGGTCGAAAGGTCCTCTTCCACCACCATAACAGCACCTACACTAGTGGAACAGCACTTCCAATTGGGGGAGGAGAGAGGCAATTTTTTCCAATGACCTCCTCCTACTGCAAACCCTCACCACCCTTTAGGGTCTCCTGGATCCTGTAGCCAGAATTTTTTCTTAGGGGGGCAACAAGGGGGGCAGTTTAGTGCAGCGGAGCTGACTCCTGAGGAAGCCAGCTCTGACCCCTTTCCCTGCTCCTGCTCACCTCTGAGAGGAGAACCTCTATGACTGTGTTTAGAAGCATCCCTTTGCCCAGATATTTTTGTCCACAGGGGATGGGGAGGGGGGAGAAGCCGAGAGTTGCCCTCACTTCTCAGCGCAGTGTGCAAAGCGGGACTGTTGCCAAGCAGAGAAGTGCTCTCAGTAGCAGGCAGCTCCTGGCTCAAGAAGGTTCCGAGGGGAGGAGAGGAAAAGAAAATGGGGAGGGGAGTAAATCCCAACTCGCTGTGGTGATCACAGCGCAGCCTGTTGGTGGGGGGAGAGAAACCCCTTTCTCCAGCCTTGTTGGGCTTCTGAGGAGAGACGGAGAGAGCACCAAACACTCCACCAGAAATGTGCTCGGGTCCTTCCCAGTGTTCCCTCTAAGCAGAGTTAACGTGAGCTAGCTCAGTTTTTTAGCCTACGGCTCACACATTTTTGCCTTAGCTCAGAAAGGATGGCTCCAGAGCAAACTAATTCATGCAGCAGCCAAATCCCCTACTCACAATTTTAATGCCAGGAGCTCGCAAAGTAGAATTTTCGCTCACAGGACTCCATAGCTTAGCGGGAGCATTGGTCCTTCCCCACCAGAAAGAGGGAGAGAGATTCACATGGGGGCAGACCCTGGCTGGCTCCTGCCTCCTCCTCACCAGCAAGCCCCCTCGGATGGGAGCAGAAGCGAGGTGAAGGCGGATGCAGAAATGCACCCTCGCTCACACACAGCTCTGCCTGCCAAACACATGGCTCCACCTGCCTTTCTGGCTTCTGAACCCTGAGTGCCGCCAGATCAGGTTTGTGGAGAGGGGTCTCTTCTGCTTCAATTGAATTCCTCTTTTCTTCCTGGTAGTTGAGTGTGTGGGGGGGGGAGAAGGCACAGCTGGTTAGTGAGGAGGCAGGGCACATTCATGGGGGGGTGTCAACTCATGAGGCTCCCCTGTGGCTACACGCCCCCCCACTGGCCAGGGCTATTTTGGGCAGGAACGCACAGGAATGGAGTTCTGGCTGGCTCCCACCCAGCAGGAACTCATTAGCATAATAGGCCACACCCAAAAGCAGAAACTCATTAGGATTGGCTACATTAGGGGTGTGTGGCCTAACATGCAAAGGAGTTCGTGCTACAAAAAAGCCCTGGGTTTTGACAACAAACAAGGTAAACAGAATAACAAGCAAAAGGTGGGTGTGGCTGGATAACCACACTTCTGGTAACATGGGGGTGCAGCCTAATGTGCTAATGAGCTGTGCTGTCAGGGGTGTGGCCTAATATGCTAATAAGTTCCTGCTGTTGAGTGTGGCCTATTATGCTAATGAGTTCCTGCTGGGCTTTTTCTACAAAAAGAGCCCTGCCACTGGCTATGCCCCCCCCCATGGCAACGGGCCCAAGGACAGAAGTTCATGGGGAGGCTGCAGTGGGAGGGGGAAGGCAGTAACATCTCATTATAGCTTCCTTGCTGCACTCATTGTATTTGGATCCAACTTGAGCATTGGGATGCATATTCCTCTCAGGTCAGTCAACATTCGAAGGCCAAATGTTGAAGTAAGACTGAGCCATCTCTGGGAAAGCTGGGGATATAAATATTTTAAATAAATAAATAACCTCATACGTTAAGCCTTCTAAGGGCCAAACAAGATGATCCTTTTTGAAGAGTTGGGTCCAGGTTCCCCAACTTGGGTTCCTCATAGTCACACAGCAGCTGCAGGAAAGAGCTATTAAAAATTTAAGACCAACCCCTCTCACTGCAAGGCCTGAGAACAGATGTTGAGATCCCAGGAGTCTGCTTTGTCTTTCTCGCAAGACAATTTCTCCTTCCATAGATACACACCTTTTTAGACTAACACTACTTCTAGACTGTTCACGTGAATTCTTTCAACACTTTTCCTGTGTATGTCGCCATGTGTATATTGACCCACACACTGCAGTCATGTTGGGGTTTCCTAGAATGAGGTTCCAGTGCCTTGGTTGCTAGACAACCCCATAGTGCTGACTCTGATATTGCGAAGTTTCATGAGATGATGATGATGATGAATATTTCTATGCTGCCTCTTCAAAGTCCTGCTTGGTGTGACTTTCAATGAAAACAATGTAACAATGTAGATACAAGCCATAAAAACAACCCATTGGACATAGAAAAGGGAAAGATACCAAAGAGACCAGTAGCCCCTTAAAGACTAACAAAATTTGTGGTGGGGTAGAAGCGTTCATGAGTCACTGCTCACTTCTTCAGGCAGAGCAGTGACTCACAAAAGCTCATATCCTACCAAAAATGTTGTTAGTCTTTAAGGGGCTACAGGACTCTTACTCTTTTCTACTGCTACAGACAGACTAACACATCTTCATCTAGCTTCATTGGACATAAATAGCATAAAAACAATCCATAAAACAGAAGCAGACCATTTAAAAGCTGGTAAGATAAAAGCCTAGCTTAAAATATCTCAGTTGGTGTTCTTCATTTTTGTTTTATTAAATTTTCAGATTTTTTTCTGCAAACCTGGAGGTTTCCTTGGGTTTGCAGGAAAAAAGAATCCCTCCTTAGTACATATCCTTATTATGCAGACTTTTTAAATCTATGCTCTGTGTCCCTGTTCATGATTAGCTATATTGATAATACAAACATTTAGTTTCAATCTTATTGGTGGCGGTGAACAAATTTCTTGGCTTGTTTGGTACAGCCTCCTTTGTGTTTGTCCAAAACCATCATACAATTAGGAGAGAACCATTTTTTCTGGGGAAAAACATATGCAATCCATAGGTCGAACAAATATTTATGTTAAAGTAATGTTAAAATGATTTTAAAAGATGCTGCCTTAATTTATTAAAGAATATTCATCTGAGTAATTAAAAGACTGGAAACTGTAGCCCCCTAGAAAAATAACTAACACATCAAGGGGAAAAAAGAGTTTTACATGGGCAGATTCCCATCTTGTTCCTAAAACAATCCTGGATATGAGAACTCAGTTCTCCATGTTGCCGTTCGCTCATCACAGCTTGTCCAAAGCACTTTTTTCTCAATATCCTCAAAAGATACAGGGAGGAATGACTGATCCATAGGTTTTTGAAAGGCTCTCATTTTTCATCTGCTAGCTGAAAAGATGAAGAAAAGGTTCTGAAAGGAAAAGCATCAAAATCTGCATAACTTACAAACTAAGGCTCCAATGCCAATGAGTAGAAAGAGGATGACAACTCGATACAGGAAAGCTACGCGTTTCACAACTCTTTCATTTGATAGCCACTTCTTGATCTTGCCCACTGATAGATCACAAGCTAAGACAGGGGAGGAAACACTCATTAGTATTTCTAGGACTGGAAGGGCCAGGTTTCTTCACCTCTGCATGAGCGACTAAGGACGATTCTATGTGACTGGGTGAGGCCTTGAGTTGAGAAGGGCAAATGTTCTACATGCCAAAATCTAACCCAAAGAGTTTGGATCGTAGCAGATTCTTGTCCCACACCTCAACCCACTGGAATTACACCATGTTCTATAGCTTCCCGTGCAGCATTCCGCATCAATATTGCATGTTCCTATTGCTATGGCTTGCCTCCCAAACTGCTGCACTTTGTATTTGAACTTGTATGCAGTATCATTGTACATCTGTTCCCCCTTCTGCCTCCTTCACGTTTGCCCATTGTTTTCCGAACTTGCTTTAATATGGTATTTCTGTGATGATTGTACTCAGGCCCGTAGCTAGCGTGGGGCCCCTGGGGCCCGGCCCCCCTGCGATTTTAATGGGCCCCCTCCCGCGATCCTTGGTCCCCCTCCCTCCTCGAGCATGCCTCTGTGCGGCAGCGGCGCCGGCAGCCTTGACAGACGCTGCTTCTGCAGGCAGGAGAGAGGAGAATGAGGAAGCAGCGGCGGCGACGCAAGCAGCAGCAGCTGTGCTGCTGCCTTAGAGGTGCGCGCGAGCGAGCCGGAGAGAATGGGCAACCAGCCCAGGCGACCTGAGGAGTCAGAGCCAGGTCTGTGGGCGAGCGAGGGGTGGCTGAGCCTGGTCTCGCCTCGTGCGCCCACCGCCAAGTTGGCAGAAGCCCCGAACCCCCCGGCTGGCGATTGTGCCCTGAGCCCGGCTGCGGGATCAAAGAGGCCGAGTCCTGCTTTGAGTCGGTTCCGCAGCCGGAGTTGAAAGAATCGTCGGGGAGAGGCCTGCTGGAGCGCCCTCCCAGACAGAAAAAAGTGGGGTGGGAGGGAGCCCGCCGACCCCAGCGCCGGGTCGCTTCCCGTCCACCGCTGCCTTCGAGAGCGGCTCCTTGACCCGCGGCGTGTCGGGCGTGCTCCCTCGCCCGTGAGCGCCCTACATGCCCGGGGGGAGGAGGGAGGGGCCGGGGGCGATGGGGGGTGCCCCCAGACGGCCCCAGGCCGGGCGGCGGCGCAGCAGGAAGTGCCTGGAAGCAGCGCGCGGGAAAGCGCTCGGACCTCGGGGCGGGTTAGCTTAGCTGAGATCCTCCTTTTGCTTTGCCCCTTCCTGGGGGAGAGAGAGAGAGAGAGAGAGAGGAAGCCGCCCCCGAGAGGGAGAGTTCGCCGCCGCCCACCCGTGCGTGGGGGATGGGGACGCTGAGCGGCAGAAGGACGGTAGGCGCCGGGCCGCTTCTCTCGTGTCGGTCCCGGTATCCGCAGAGTAGGGGTGTGTGTGTGTGTGAGAGAGAGAGAGAGGGAGGGAGAGAGGCGTCGGGGTGTGTGTGTAAATGCTTGCCCTTCAGAAGTGCTCGAGTTCTCTCACTACTTCCCATAGACTTGATTTGCATTTTCTTTTTTAAAAAATCCTCCACTCCATTGTTGCGGCGAACTGCTTCCCCTGCAAGTGTCATTCAGCCCCATGAGCCAATCTAATGACTCCTCCGGTCCTCAAACTGGTATAAATTACTCCTTCCCGGAGCTTTTGTGTCCCCCCCCCCAATGTGTCCACACACACCTAAGCAGCAAAGGTCGGAAGGAAGTCCTGTGACTTCCCTTCCTTGTTTTCTAGCTGGACGCTGCAAGGCAGGACCGCCCCCAAATCCAGCACATCTCATGTAGAGTTGGTGCTGCCTTTCTGAGGGTAAGAGGGGAACTTTTTGTGCTCTTATCTACATTCACTGCTTTTAAAGATAGCATACTGCCTTTTTCTTTTGCAAAAACAGAAGCAGATACTGGATCCTAGAACCACTGACATTGTCCCTTTGTAGTGTTAAAACTCCCCCCCCCCCTATGCTGGGGGATCACAGGATGTAAATGAGTTGTCCTTAGGCATTTGCAAACCACTCCCTTGCTAGTTCTGCTTCCAGCTAGCTTTCACCTTCAGAAATAAAGGCTCTCTTTATCTAAGGGGGGGGGATTTCCACTTCCCCAATTTGTCTTTTTTAATGCTTAGTGAATATATGTAATCAACAATTGTTAATTTGACCAACAACAACAACAAAAAGAATAACTACACTGTCCATTACTAAGATTTGGTGTTCCTCCCAACCTTTGTTATTGTCAGGACTTCCTAGGGAAGGACAGTTTTTACAATCCTCCCTCTGAGAGATCAAAGGGAAGATTTGTTTAGAAGGATAACCTTTGATTTGGCTCCTCGGGAGGAGGAGGAGGCGAAGAAGGCGGATGGCTCGGCCTCCTCCTCTTCCTCCTCCTCCGCGGCCAGGCAGTAGCTCACAAAGTAGAAGTTTTGCTCACAAAACTCCACAGCTTAGAGGGAACATTGGTAGTGGGCCCCCCGAGAAAAATTTGGGCCCCCTGAGCAAAAAGTTGTTAGCTACGGGCCTGATTGTACTCGAGGTGGGTTTTCTCAAGGTGTAGATAGGAAGGTATGGACTTCCAGATTTTCTTGTCCACATCCTGTGCCACTTGTCTTGTAGCTATTCCCCTCCCTGCTCCCAGTGGGCTTTTTGCCAGCCTTTCCCAATAGCTAATATATCACTAGAGTCTTCTAACTACAGCCATATATCAGCTACCTTTTAAAAAAAGCACAGAATCTACTAGTGGCACAATCTGTGCGGGAGGGGATGTGAGGAGGGACCCAGGTGAACATGGATAATCTTATGTTGGTACGCCATTGCATTCACAGAGGAAATAAGAGCACCATGGGGGAGTCATCTCTATGTAGAAACAGCTTCACTGTTGGGATTTGCAAGTTCTCTTCCTGTTGCCATGAAAGAATGAACACATTTGTTTATGCATGCTAATGTCCTAGGTAGTTAAGGTTAGGGACCCAATGGTAGAGCCTGCACTTATTTCCCGCCATAATAAGGTGATAAAATGCATAATTAGTTAGTATTGAGATTCTCCAATTGGGTGATCAATAAATTGAGGGTGGGCTAGTGAGTAAGCACTGGGTTTCAGTTTTATTGCACTTTGTTCTTCTCCTCTAGTCCATTCTCACAAGAAGCTTAGAAGTCAAGATGTAGATTAGATCAGTCAGAGAGGATGCTTATCCTGTGTTTACTTCTTTAACCTCTCAGTTACCTTTCCTCATTATAGAGTTTTCTATTAAAGCTAATATAATATATAATGCCATTGTAATAATAGGAGCAAAAGGGTCTCTGTTGTACTACGTCTATTCACTCTGCTAGCTTAGTCAGAATACCCAGCATTCACACACATTTATAACTGCTTGTGTTTTGCATTCAGTGGGCTAGTTATGTTCCTAGCTCTCATGATTGAAGGGAAACACTGTTGAGTGTCTTATGATGAAGAGGTATCCAGGTGTAATGTTAAGGCGCCTTAATGCTTATGTCATCTGAAATACTACAAAAGCAATATGATGGTTTGCTAAATGCCATGCGTTCCTAAATCTAATTCACACACTTTGTAACTAGGAGGAAAAGGTGAACAAAGGTCTGAACATTCTTTGAAGGTGCAGCTATGAATATTCCTTAGCATATCTAGGAGTTAATGGGAGAAATATTTTGTTGAGCACACACTTCTGTTCTGTCCACTGGTCCTTCCAAATTTCCCAAGTTGGCTTCCTGCCACAAA